GTTAGCCACAACTTGTTATAATCCATATAGTCAAATGCCTTTGTATAATCAATAAAGCATAAATAGACATTCTTCTAGTATTCTCTACTTTCAGCCATGATTCATCTAACATCAGCAATTATATCCCTAGAGTCACAGCCTCTTCTAAATCCTGCCTGCTTGAACTCCAGGCATTTCCCTACCTACGTACTGTTCTAGCCATTTTTAAATGATCTTCAGCAGTATTTTGCTTTCATGTGCAAACTGCTTTGGGAAAATCTGCTGTCAGGGACCTCTCCAGAGTACTGGAGAGCAATGATGTTAGTTGAGAGACTAAGGTGCGCCTGACGCAGACCATGGTGTTCACAATTACTTGCTATGCATCAGAGAGCTGGACAATGACTAGGGATGAAAGAAGGAGAATTGATACCTTTGAGTTGTGATGCTGGAGAAGAGTACTGAATATACCTTGGACTGCTAGGAGAACAAACAGGTTCATTCTGGAGAGGGTGAAACCAGGCTGCTCCTTGGAGGCAAGGATTCTGAAGCTTCATCTGACATACTTTGGACATGCTGCACAAAGAGACCAGTCCTTGGAGAGGGACATCATGTTTGGGAGGATGAAAGGACAACATAAGAGAGGAAGACCATGGATGAGACGGAATGACTCAGTGACAAAGGTAATGACGGTGGGTGTTTTGGAGACAATGAGGTTGGCACAGGATAGAGCAGGGCTCAGAGCTGTTGTACACAGGGTGACTATAAGTCACAAGTGACTCGAAGGCACTTTACAACAACAACTACAAGTAATCCAAAGGGAGATAAAGAGAAAAATATACCACTGTCATGGAGTGGAAGACTTAATATGGTGAAAATGCAAAACTACCAAAAGAAACCTATGCTTATAATGCAATCCAAATACACATCATCATTATTTTTAGAAGAAATGAAATAATAATCAACTTCATAAGAAGAACCAAATCCTATTGTTGTTGTGTAGTGTCAAGTCAGAACCAATCCATAGCTGACCCTCCAGTGGGTTTTCAGAGGTAATTAACTGCATGGGAGGAGACTGTCCATCCTTCTCCCATGGAGCAGCTAGTGGATATGAACTGTCTTCAAGACTGCAGCACAGCTTCTTGCCACTAAGCCACCAGGTGCTCAAGAAAAAACAAAGTAGGAAGGCTCATACTTTCAGATCTCAAAACACTGCCAAGATAATCAAAACTTCTTGGTACTGGTATAGCTACAGACACTGCAGACCAATGAAACAGAAACCAGCATAAAAATCCATTCACTGGGGGAAGAGAGCCTCTTTATGAGTTCTGGTAAAGCTAGGTATTTATTTGCAGAAAACAACAATAAAATGCAGTCTAAAAACATGCACAAAAATGAACTCAAGATCCGAAAATGTAAACAAAAATCTAATACCATATACAAAATTGAATTTAAGATGGATTAAAGTACTCAGACATAAACCCTAAAACAATCAAGCTGAGAGACTATCAAATATAACTAAGATGCACAAATGAAAGAAAGAGGTTAAACTAGATGATTGTCGTCGAAGTCAACTCGTAGCTGACCCTCTGGCAAGCTTTCCCTAAGACATAAATCCCATGAGAAGACATGGTCCATAATTAGCCCCCAGGGAGGCTGGTCTACTGTACAACAAGCCAAGCACTGTTTGTGGATGAGCAGCTCAACTCCCTATGGACGAGGTCAATAAAAAGCTTCTCCATAGGAGCAAAAAAAGAGAACCTCCTGGTTGGGAAAAAAAATATTTGGCAAGAATATATCTAACAAGGGATTCACTACTAAAGTTTGCTGAAACTCCAACACTTCAAGTAGAAAAAGATTAAAAACTCAATTACACAAATGAGCAAAAGACATGAATATACACTTCAATAAAGAAGAAATTCAGAAGGCCAATAAATACATGAAGAAGTGCTCAGGAGTATTAGCTTGTTGTTTTTGTTGTTGTGTACTGTAGTATCAGAACTGAACCAGAGCTGACCCGCTGGCAAGTTTTCAGAGGCAATTAATCACAGGCAAGGAGACTGCCCATCCTTCTATCGCGGTAGCCTTGAACTGCTTGCTTGCCTTTGGTATTGCAGCACAGCTCTGGTCACTAGGCCACCAAAGCTTAGAAAGAAGAAAGGAGGAGGAAAAAAAAAAGATACAATGTCACCCTGGCAACACTAGCAAAATTCAGTAAATCAGCAAACAACAAGTGCTGGTGAGGATGCAAAGAGGCAGGAGATCTCATACACAGCCAGTGAATATATAAAATGGTGCAAGCACTACAAAAAGCAATTTGGCACTTTTCCACAGAATTGTGACTTGATCCAGTGATCTCAAGGATATGAGATGAAATATAATTTGATAAATGCAGAGCTGTGTTTATTGCAAAAAGTCGGAAACAATCCAAGTGTTCATAGAACGACAAAGAATCCTCCTCCCACAGAAAACAAAAAACAGAGATGGTACAAGCAGACTTAAAAAAAAAAAAAGGCAAAAGCATCCATTTAAGAATACAGAATCTTTTCCCCCAACCCCACCGAAAACCCCCAAAAACAAAAACCCTAAGGTAACTCCATGCAAAATTTCAAATAAAATATGATTACATAAATTTATAATCACAATGTCATGTTTTCTGTTAAGGCCTGATTCAGGATGCAAGAAAAATTGAAATAATACAGAGATTCTGGAATATACATAACCACTATACCATTAAACAACAATAACAATGACGACGACCAAGAGAGAGCTACATTGGCCTAGTGGAAGGAAGCTGTGCTACCAAGCCGAAGGTGGGTGATTGTCATCTGTGGCCCTCGGCCAGGTTCAAATTGTCTTCCTGTCAAACATTCTTCTAGGTGGTATAGCACTGGTCTGTGCGCTGCTGTACAGAGGTAACTCGTGGTTGCTGTGATGCTGAAGCCTGTGACAGTGATGTGCCAATTGTGGTAATGGGCACCCATGGTGGAGAGTGTTGGCTGGAGCTTCCCGACTAAATCAAGCCTGGAAGCAGGAACGGCATCCACTTCCAAAATGGCTTGCCTCTGGAAACTCTATGTACGAACAGTGCTCAGGCTGTTCGTTCATAGGGTCGCTATGAGTCGTCTACGACGCGACGGCATTAAACAACAACACTATACCAGAAAGTAGTTGATACTGAACTACTTTAGAAAGTAGCAAATGACTAAGAAGTAATGGTAGCAATAACAATGAAACAACTTTTTTCTCCCAAGAAAAAAAAGAACTAGGGGGGCAGGGAGAAAAATGTGCAACAATGAATGACTGGAAATCCAAGTTCTTTATAAACTTTCATTGATACAGGCTAATTCTAGTTCTGATGCTAGTTATTGACACAGAATATGTTTTTCAATTCACAATGCTGACTAATTTAAACTCTGAATCTTAGAATACTATTAAGCATATTGCCCCAAAGGCATTCAACATAGTATCTGTAAAACTTCCATGATTTTAAAATTTTTATAGGACATACTCTTTTATTATTAATACAGAAAACACCTCGTTATATTATTTTATGTCATTTACTCACTCAGTAGAAGAACTGACACACAGAATTGACTCGCTGTCAGTGAGCAAAATTAGAACTCTCTTAAGAGTGGTTGAAAAGAAGTTCAGTTGAGGAATCATAACAGCAGTTGTTGGGCAAAGCACAGTGATATTACTAAATGCTCCAAAATACAAAAATGGTAAGGCTTTTTAATACAGAAGGTTTTTATGGAAATAATAACTATTAGTTACACATGGTTGTTAGGTACTGTGGAGTAAAACTAACTCTTAGCTGACTTTCTAGCCGTTTTTCAGAGGCTATGAATCATATGTAAGGTGATTACCCATTTTTCTCCCTAGCATCAGCAGGTGGGTTCTAACTGTGTGTCTTTAGCTTGTCAGCACAACACTGTACCTATAACCCATTCAAGCTCAAGTCATACACTAGTAACCATAAAACATATAATTTCAGCTGCAGATGCCCTAGAGAAAGCCTGCACAAGTATTTTGTGTAAAAGATTTCTTTTATCTCTCTAGAACAGGGGAACTTTGTATATAAAAACATTATTTGTAAGAACACTCATATTTTAGAACATTATACCTAACTCTTGAGTTTACCCCTAAAAACCTTTCATTTCAAGGTCATCTAACAAATAAATTCTTTCAGAAACTCTTTGATCTCACCTGTTTATCTAATAAATGGGTAGACTCAAAATACCCATTAACCTGGATTCATTCTCAAGTAGAATTAGGTGCAGAGGAAAAGAGGGAAAGGCAGACGAAAGGGAGTGTGAGATGTGTTCACACACAGTGGGACCCACCCACAGAGGGTTAAGGAGGTAAAGCACTCCATTTTAGAGGGTATTCAGGTGCCAGCTGATCTTGCTGAAGATTCTTCTCTGTTTCATTGACCCTCCATCACTCCTCGCCTAGTGACTTTTTCCAAAGGACTCGCCCCTTCTGACTACACACCCAGAGCATGTGAGAGGAAGTTTCACTGGCTTTATCTCTCAGGACCACCCTGGCTGCCCTTCCTCCAAGACAGACTTATTTGTTCTTTTGGCAGTCCATGGTATCTCCAACACTGTTTATCAACATTAATTACAATTCAGTGTGACTAAGCCCCAAGCAAAGCACAAAACATCTGAGCCACCTCAGGTCAACTTCTTTCCCGTCCAACCAATCAATAATTTCCATCACATGGTGTTGTGCCCCCGACATCCTAACACCCTTTAAGCTATAGGAAGGGTGACCAAACAGATTATTTTGGAGGCTGGTCCAGATGAAATCACCTTATGAGCTAGGGATTTCTCATGCTATGTGTAGAAGAGAGAAGGTGGGCCTTCAGACTTACCTGTGGCATTTTGTAAATGGTTAACAAGTAATTAACACTTTAGACAACAATAAGAGTCTTAGAAACATGACAAAGGATCTTATCTGTAACCTAATATTCCCCTCCCCAGCCCACCCCAGATGTTCTGACTTGGTATTACACTCACCTGGCTGTTTGGATCACCAAGTAAGTTACATATATGTGGCACAATCTTGCTTAGTGTTAAAGTATGGGCTCCAGAGCTGAAAAGAAAAGATTTTATTATGAATGAGAACAAAACAAAGTCAGTAACTTTTTCGGGCCTTCACCAACCTCAGTCCCTGTCTCCACTTCTCAACAAGATTCTCTCCCTGGCATTTATGCTGTTTTCAACCTAACACACCATCAAACTCATCCTGCACTCATCAAAAACCTTTAGTAATTTTCCACTCACAAGTCTTACTGACATTCAGGGCTCTCTCCAATATCACCAGAAACCTCTGTGGCCAACTCAAAACTGCCACCTTTCCCTGATCTAGCTGCCTCTACACACAGTGTTTCTACATTTCCATTTTGTTATGTAATCACTATTACTTTGCCCAACTGGGTATACCCAGATAAACTGCCAGTTTCTCCCATATGTATCAAGAGTAAACTGTATCCAATGACTGAGCTTTCAGAAGCAGGTAATATTTCGTCCAAGTGGTCCTAGGTACACGCCAATCTTTTTTTTCCATTTCAACTAAGCACATACACAGAGATCAACACAAAGCAAAATTAAATTGCACTGAAAAAAATGTTATCAAAACATTGGGAAGAGAAAGTCTATAAAGTAATATAACCATTTGTTATTAAAATAATACAAATGTATACGGTGAAACAAAATGCAGTCAATGTTACATAACTATCTGAAAGTGATGAATTACAAGTCATCCTTCTTTGTTTCCTTACATTTTTCCATGCTATTACTTTCACAATTAAGTTATTTATAATTATGAATTTCTAAAAAAGCTTCTCATACAATAAATAAATGAGCAGAATTTTGAGCAGTCAGCCATCAGGGAAACAGTAGTTGAAACTACAATGACATATCACTACGCACATTACAAAATGTCTTAAGCAAAAACTGGTGCAAACACTCAGGGCTGACAAGCGTAGGAAGATACTAGCTCACGCACACTGCTGGTGGCATGCACAAAGGCACAATCTGTAAGAAGGCTGGCAATTTCCTGCAAAACTAAAAACTGACTTGCCATTTTATGTATATTCCAGAAAAAAGAGAACTTGTATTTAGATTTATGCACATGCTGTATCGTCTGTCTCTAATAATCTCTCTGCACTATCATTTTGTTGTTGTTGTTGAGTGCCTCTGAGTCAAGCATGGCTCATAGTGACCCTATGAACTAAAGACCTGAAGACCTTCTATAACTATCGTTTCCCAAAGTTCATAGTCTCCAGATGCATGTTGTTTAGAAAGTAGATGCCACTCCTGCTGTAACCAAAGTTCAGTTGCCAAATTATCAAGTCAAGTACAACTCAAAGAACTCTGTCCTGTCCTGTGCCAACCTCACAATCTCTGACACACTCAAGCCCACTGCTGCAGTCAATCCATATGGTTGTGCATCTTCCTCTCCTAAGCTGTCCCTTCATCTTTCTAAGCATCATGTCCTTCTCCAAGGAACAACCTTAATAGCATTCATTGTAGTAAAAAACTAGAAATACCCTAATGTATGCAACAGGTAAATGGCTATACTATAATATAGCTAAACCATGGATTGTTAGTCAGTAAGAAAAGTGAATCAACTATTAGTAAAGTTAACAATATATATGTAACCTCCAAGGAATTATTCTTAGTTAAAAAAAAAAAACAACCAACCAAACCCTAAACTCTTAAATATACAGCAGTCTTAAAAGAATAAAAAGATGCCATGTTGGTTCCGCTCGTCAGCATAGAAACATCAAAAATTTAAGTTAGAGTAAGGAAGGCAATGGATTTATAATTGTTTATGCTAATGACACTATATCATGGCATGGAGGTGGAATAGTGGAACTATATCCACATTTACAGTATTCTTCATACCAAAATCATTTATGAAAAACAGGAACAGCATTGGAACATGTATCTCTTTGGACTGGAAATTATTTGTACAATTATATTGATAATATTACTAGCCTTAAACTTAAAATATTATATTGTTCAAAATTATTTGTTATATGAATTTTTCCCTCTTTTAATAACTAGGATCTAGAGGGAAGAGAAAAGACCAGAAAATGGTCTAAATTATTGGGGCAGCTATTGCTGCCAGTTTAGGGCCTGTGTCAAGAAAAGGAAGTCTTACTCATAAACAATGCCACCCAAAGGTAATAAAGGAGGTCAGAATTGCTTCCACCGTGGAAATCTGGGCCACTTTAGTAGACAGTGTCACAAACGAGAGCCACAGATAGGCAAGGGAGTAGAGAGGAAGCTCCCACTCACTTGCTTTAAGTGTGGATCTGAAGGACACCTGGATAAGGGCAGCCCTCATCAGGTCCTAGTGGCTGACAGGACTGACAGGCCCCAGCTCCCAGCTGGAAACAAAGGAGGATGCTTCAACAATTCAGATCCTCCCAGAAGAGCCACGGCTGAGCGTTAACATTGCTGGTAAGTATATTCATTTTCTCCTGGACACAAGAGCCTATTATTCGGTCCTACAAGCCTTCTCTGGTCCACACTGTTCCCTCTATTCCTTAGTTGTTGGAATTGACGGAAAACCTTATTAATAAGCAGTTCTTTACTCCACTTCTGCCTTGCATGTGAACTTCCTAGCTGTAAAACAACCCAATGGTAAATGGAAATTGGCCCAGAAATTAAGAACAATAAATGACATAGTTGAGCCTCTACATCTTGTGGTTCCTAGCCCTTACACTATAATAGACAAAGTGCCAGCCAATTAACGCTTTTATTTTAAGAATTATCTTCCTTCTGTAGCTTGGTTTGTGCCACTGTTAGAACTTCTAGTTGGAAGATTATTGCTTTTAATTTTTGGCTCATGTACTTCTAACTTGTTAAATATGTGTCTTCTAGGCTGCAACAGTTCCATGATGCATCTTCAAGGATATGAACATGGATCCTTAAGTACAGTGAACCTAAATTCCAAAATCAATGTCCACAACAGTCTATGTGTTTCCTATTGCCAAAGGGACCCTTTAGAGTAGTGAAAGATCTTCACCCTGAGATCTACAGCATCCTTTTCCAGCAGGAAGTAGCTAAGAGAATGTGGCACCCCCTTTCCTAAATGAATTAGGGTGAAATCTCTCTCAGGGAGGGGTGATAGGGAATGGCAAAGGACATGTTGACAAAGGAGATTAATCAGAACTGGTTTTGACAAAGACTGTGGTAATATAATAATAGAGGCTTTCAAGGAATGTTCAACTTGAATCTTTCTGATCATATGGAGAGTTTTGGAAGAATTTTTGTAAAATTATTTTGCTTAATCAGATATATTTTTTTACTATATATAAAGGATGAAGAGAACAAAAAACAAGTGAGAACGAATCTTGAAGAAAAGAAATTGTGCTCATCTTGGTGACCACAAGATTATGATTTAAACAAAAGAGGGGGAAATGAGGGAAGCTCAGTATTAAATTTAATATTCTAATAGTAAACCAAATGATGTATCAGGAAATGAGGGAGGCTTAATACAAGCTGAAGGTCACCTTGTGGCACTAAGGTGTTCCCTAAGAGTCAACACTGTTCTTAGTTTGTATTCACTGAATCCCTCTCTCCTGAGATTAGCATAAAGAGGAACTTGGCCTTATCTGCAAAAGACTTCACCATTATACTTTGTTTTTGTTTTGTACTTCCTTATGATTTTACTTTTTCTACCTTCCTTATGATTCTCAATAAATACACGGAGAAGCTTGGCTTGGGGCCTTCAGCCATGGGAACTGCTGGCCCCCTGTTTTTCAAGCTCTCTATTCTATCTCAAAAAAAAAGAACATCCAAACAGATGTTAACCCATAGTTAATGCATTAACCCATAGTTAATGCAGAGTTATTCACAACAGCAATGAGATGGAAGCAACCCAAGTGACCAACATCAAATGAATGGATAGAGAAACTATGGTATAGTCACATAATGGAATACTATGCGGTACTGAAAAAACAAGGACCTCCTAAAATATTACCCAACAAGGGTGATATTGGAGGACATTATGCTGAGTGAAATATCTCAGTCACAAAATGGTAAATACAGTATAACAGCACTGTTATACAACAGGACTGAGATGGGGATTGGGTGGAAACTAAGACAAGTGGGGATAAATAATGAACACTGCACTGGAAGAGATGAAGGAATGAACTGTTTAAAAGGAAAACACAATTAGGCATTATTTGTATGACAACAGTCCACAATAAGAGGTACATTGTAAATAGGATTGGGAGGAGGTAATTGTGCAACAATGAAAGAATTTTTTTCCACAAGTAAACTGCAGGCAGGGAAGGTAGCTAGAGGGGGGTAAACTGTGCAACAATTAACTGGGGGAGGGATGGGAGAAGGGAGGATATTATGCAACAATGAATTAATCTTTTTTTTTTTTTTTAAAGTGAATTGAGGGTAGAGAGGAAAATGTACAACAGTAAATAAATTAAAATCCAACTTTTCTGTAAACTTGTTTTTAAATCACAATAAAAGAAAATATAGGGGAGGGGAAGAAAGAACAAAAAGAAAATATGTGACCCTCTTATGGTGATGGTATAGTCCTGTGTGTAACTATGATGGTCAATATATACTACTGCACAGAACTACATACATACACATACATTCACAGCACACATCTAAACTTTGTGTGTGCATCAATGTCAGTTTCTTGGCACTTGTAACATGGCAAGATGTTAGCAGCAAGGGAGGTGGGCCGAGGAAGACCAGGACACTCATGAATTTCCGTATGCATCTTTATACATTTCAAAATAAAAATAACACCACCTTTGTACAAATTTCCGTTCCAACACACTTACGCATTGAGTGTTGCAATAAGGCAGAGGCAGATGCCTTCTCGGGTGCGAAAGTTCTTGTGTTTGAAGCCTCCAAGCATTCTGTCCCACACATACTGCAGAAAACAAGAACAGACAAGACTTTAGAAGCCTTTCATGTAGTAAAGGGTACAGAACAGAGCAGGCTCTCATCAGGCAGGTGCCTCCCTTGTTGCTGTCTAGCTGGCTGACACTGCCACCAACCCCCAATCAATTCCTTTCATAACTGCTAGTGGAGGGGCAAAGCACCCAGGTTAGCAATGCACCTTACCAATACAGCTTAACCTGCAGAGCTCTACCTCAGGAGAGTCAGATGAATCTTAATTCTCCATCAATCCACTTCACCCTTTTAGTATTGTTATCTCATGTTTAGTGCTGACCAGTCGAGGAAGAAAACCCAAACAAAAGCCCTGAACCTTGCCCAATCCTGCACCAACCAGGTTTGGGCCGCCAACACACGCAAAGCCAATTGCTACAATCACTCTACCAATCCGTCTCATTGAGGGTTTTCTTCTCTTGAAGTTATTTCCCAGCACAATGTGTCCGAGAACTGGCATTTCCTGAAAACATGCCAAAGGATGTGAGATGAGGTTTTTCCATTGTCTCTAAGAAGCACCCTCCTTGTAATTCCTCCAAGACAGACTTATATATTCTTTTTAGCAGTCCATAGTATACCCAATAGTCTTTACAAATATGAATTCTTATTTGGTCTTCCTTATTCACTACCCAACTTTCTTTCTGATGCTTAGAGAAGCAACTGAAGACATTCTAACTTGGATCAGGTACACCTTAGTCCTTAAAACATCCTCCTCCTTTAGCACTTTGGCGAGGTCCTTGCCAGCATTTTTTCCCAGGGCAACACATCTTTTGATTTCTTAACTGCTATTATCATGATTTTAACTTCAGCTTGCTTGGCTCCACTATCAACACTCTTGGTACCAGAAGCCATGAAATCAAAAGACAAACTGTATTGGAAAGTCAAGGATCTCTCCAGAGTACTTAAGAGCAATAATATCAGGCTAGAGATTAAGGTGTGACTGATCCAGGCCATGTTCTTCCCAATTACTTGCCATGCATCAGAAAGCTGGACAATGACTAGGGATAATGCCTTTAAGTTGTGGTGCTGGAGAACGGAATATACCATGGACTGCTAGGAGGGTAAACAAGTTCATGCTAGAGAGAGTGAAACCAGGCTGCTCCTTGAAGGCAAGGATTCTGAAGCTCTGTTTGACATACTTTGGGCATGTCGCAAGGAAGAAGCAGTCCATGGAGAGGGACATTATGCTCAGGAGGATGGAGGGACAGTGCAAGACAGAAAGACCCTCAATGAGATGAACTGACTCAATGACTTGGGTAACAGGAGGGGAGGCATTGCTGTCAGAGACATTAAGGTTGGCTCAGGACAGGGAAGGGCTCAGAGCTGTTCTACAAAGGATCGCTATGAGTCACAAGCAACTCGATGGCACATCACAACAAAAACAATTACAATGGGTATTGATCATGATCCAAGTAAAATTAAAATCCCTGACAAAGTCAATCTTTTCTCCATCTAAGGTGATGTTCTGAAAAGGAAGCATCCCTGACCCAATCCTTTCCTGATTTTGAACCATGCAGTGTGCTTGCTCTGTTTTGGCCACTGCTTCCTGGTCCAAATAGACGTTTCACATGGGCAAAATTAAGTATTCTGAGATTCTCATTCTTTTCAAAGTTAGCCACAATTTGTTCTTATCCACAGTCAAATGCGTTTACATAGTCAAGGAAACACAGATAGACACTGAAATTCTCTGCTTTCAGTCAAGATCCATTTGACACCATTTATAATGCCCAGTGCCACGGCCTATTCTAAACCCAGCTTAGATTTCTGGCAATTCTCTGTCAATGTACTAGTCATCTTTGGATGATGTTCAGCAGGATTTTGCTTGTGTGGTATTAGTGGTATTGTTCAGAATTTCCACACTCTGTTAGATGATCCTTTTTTGGAATGGGAATAAATAATAGATCTCTTCCAGTCAACTGCCAGGTAGTTGTCCTCCAGATTTCTTGGCACAGCCAAATAAGAATGTCCAGGGCATCTGTTTGTTGAAATATGTCAACTGGTATTCCATCAATGTCTGGGACCTTGATTTTTGCCACTTCCTTCAGAAAAGCTTGAAGTTCCTCTTTCATCACCATTGCCTCTTGATAATATGTTGTTTCCTGAAATTCTTCTGTGTCAGCCAATTCTTTTTGGTACAGTGACTCTGTGTACTCCTTCTATCTTCTTTTAATGTTTCCTGTGTTAATCAATATTCTGCCCATAACATTCTTAAGCACTGGAACTTGAGGCTTGAATTTGTTCCCTCAGCTTAAGAAAATTGCTGAGCAAGTTCATCCCTTTTGATTTTCCAATTTCAACTCTTTGCACATTTCATTACAATACTTTGCTTTGTCTTCCTGCCATATCCTTTGAAATCTTCTGTTCAGCTCCTTCATTTCCTGAATTCTTCCCTTTACTTTGGCTTCTCTGCAATCTCAATATTCAGAGTCTCGTCTAACATTCATCTTGGCCTTTTTTTCATCCTCCATCTTTGTTATGACCTTTTGTATTCTTCATGAATGATATTCTTAATATTTTCCCAAAGCTCATCTGGTCTTCTTTCATTAACATTGAAGGCCATAAACCTGTACCTGAGATGGTTTTTAAATTCAGATAGCACAGACTCAAGGTCAAGTTTTGGTTCCTCTAGATCTGTTTTCATTTTCTTTACCTTCACTTTGAACTTGCATGATGTTGCCTATTAATTCAGTGGTGAGGATTTTTGTTTTCTTGATGTTCTCCATATGTAATCTTCTGTAGTAAGTAAAGTTGTCTTCACTTTGTGTAAATAAGGTTGCATCATCAGAATAATGCAGGTTATTGATAAGTTTCCTTCTAATCCTGATGCCATATTCATGACAGGAGCCCAGCTGCTTAAATGATTTGCTCAGCATACACATTGAATAAACAGGTATGAGAAAAAGATATAACCTTTATTTTAAACCAAGTGTTCCATCATTCTGTTTGAACAAATGCTTCTCGGTACATGTACAGATTTCATACGAGCAAAATTAAGTGCTCTGAGATTCCCATTGTTGTCAGTGTTAGACATAATTTGTTTTGATCCAAACAGTCAAAGACCTTTATCAGTAGTCAATAAAAACAAGTAAACATCTGGCATTGCGTGCTTTCAATGAAGATCCATCTGACATCAGCAATGTTATCCCTAGTTCCACTGCTTGATGATCTTAAGATGATCTTGATGGTCTTAAGATCTTTCAAATCTACTCACTTACATAATTCCACTTAATTTTCGCAATGATTGTGACAAGGAGGTATAACTGCCCCCATTTTCTAAATGAGGAAAACTGGGCTCAAAGGTTAGGTAACTTTTTGAGGAGGGGACAAAAAAACCGAAAAAATTTTTCAATGGTCAAAGACATGCTCATTTGTGGAGCTAAACACCTCCTACTCCAAAAGCCCACACGTAAAACCAGTGCTCACGTTTCCGACACTGTGGGCCTCCCTTGACTATTTATAGTGGAATCCAATCCTTTGAGGTTTGCTCCTCTAAGCAGTCCCAGGTCACTAGCTGATATGATTCAAGGCCCAAGCCAAGTCTTAAGACTCTCTGAACACCACTACAGCTATGCTTTTTCAGAGAAATGAAGAGTCAGTTGTGTAAATTAGCTAAAGATTCCAACAAATTACTAGACCCATCACTCAGTACCAATATTAAGTGTAGCACTTTCTGACAAATTATACGTCTGGCTATTTATTACTAACTTATAGAACTTGGCAAGTACAGAGTAAAAACGATGAACATTTACATCTGTAATAAACCTGCTAATAAATAAATGAGTCTTTCGCAAGGAGTTAGACAGAATGTCCATGTAAGCATAAGAAGGTAGGACCCACCTGGGGATTAGCAGCTTGATCCATGATCTTTAGCAGCAGAGTCTGGTCTTGCTCCCTCACAGAGTCTTTAGCATCTCCCAGTCTATCAATTAAACTTGGAAGCACTGGAAAATAAAAATGCAAATTATTTTAAATGAAAAATGAGGGGATGTGGTTACTAGCTGTGGAAATTAAATTAACTGGGAAGACAAAATCCTGGCTTGGTGTTAAAGGATGATGCTGCCAATCTAAAGGCATGCAATTTGGCTCCATTCGCTGCTCTGTGGAAGAAATATGGATAATCTCCTCCCATGGGATTGACTGCCTGAAAATCCACTAGAGAGTCAGCTATGAGCTGTTTGCGACTCAACAGTACCCAGCTACAACAAATACCATCAAATCCGTGCTGATAGCTCTACTTGCCTTGCTGAAACACACACTATTTGTAAAATTTTGAAAAAGGCTTTGCATAGACAGGCATACTATTTCTCTTCTCCCATAGCTAGGAATCAACAAGATGTCAACGATTATCATGTGTGTAATCCAATACATGGTCTTTTCAATTACTACACATCTGAAAGTTGGACAATGACTACAGATGAAAGAATCATCATCAGTGCCTTTGAGTTATGGTGTTGGAGAAGCATACAAGATATATGTGGACTATCAACGAATAAACAAGTCTGTTTTGGACAAAGTATACCAGGGTGTTCCCTGGAAGCTAGAATATGGTAAGGCTTCATTCCACAAATGTTAGACATATTATTAAGACAGACCAAGCCTTAGAAAAGGACCTCATGTGTGGAAAGGTGGGCAGTCAGCATTGGAAAGAAGACCAGCAATATGATGGATTGGCAAGCATATTAGAAATGGGGAGGATGGCACACCACAGGGCAGGGTTCGGATACGTTGTTCATAGGGTCAACATGAGTTACTGTGAACATAATGGCGCATAAGAGCAACAATGGTAACAATTAACCATTACTAATATGGATTCCAACCAAAGACTCAGGCAAAAAGACTGAAAAAGAAATTTAGGCAATAGAGAAGGACTTTGTATTCTTCTGCTTGGGTATCCTAGAAACACACATTTACAATGCATGTACTGTATCATTCATCCACATGGTTTGTAATAGAACTTACAAAACCAGCAGCCTAAATGCCAAAGACCGTTGTACATCAGAGATGAGTTAACTATGCTTCCTTTAAAGAATCTATAAGCCACAGTTAAGAGATCACACATTACAAAGTTAGGGGTTTGTTTTGGTAGATAATTAATTCATTGTTGCAATGGGGAATGAGTCTGTGATCTTAAATGAAGGAGTTAATTAACCAGAAAGTTAACATCAGGGAAACACAGACATGTCTCAACCGAAGATGAGAAATCCTGTAAGGAAAGCTTGTGGAGGCAGAGCTACTAAGTGCAGTACGGCTGTAAAACCTCGGGATGTCTAGCACTAATTTCAGATGTCTAAGTATTTATAAACCTATGAAGCCTGCCTTTGTTGTAATCCAATAGCTGCTCCATGAAAGGTGGCTAGGCAATCTCTTCCTGTGGGATTTACTGCCTCTGCAACCCCCTGGAGCACTCCTCACACCCTCAGCGTGGCTCCTTCAGCCTCTGTGATCCAACATGGAACATCAGTTAATAACCTGTCCTAATGTTGACTATTAGGCTAATTCTTTTAGTTCTTATACAAATTAGCCATAACCCTCTAGAGTCAACTAAGTCCTATTTGTCCCTAACTCTTTTATTTACTGAGAGGCAATTTTTGAAGAGCCTTAAAAACCCTACTCCACTTCTTTCCCCTTTAAGAGATGGTTGGGAAAAACCAACAAGTAGGGCAAAGCCAGGTGACCTGGGGTGTGCCCAGCATGCGGAGAAGGCAGACCCTTGGGAAGGGTGGCGGAATCTGACAATACAGTTCTGGGGGTGGTTGTTTTGGGCCGTCAAGTCGTCTCTGACTCACAGCGAAATAAAACTTTGCACTGTGTTAGTGTTACTGTTTTGTTATGTATTTATCACCCTCCCCCCATTAGGTGGACAAAACCTGTTGCTGTGCTCTGGTGGCCGACTTGCCACCAACCAATGGCACATTGTTCGAATGCACCAGCTGCTCTGTGGGATAATTATGGGCAATCTCTTCCCTTGTGATCTAAAAGCTCTAAATCCACTGCAGAGTCAGCCACGAATAGGTACCACAGGAGAACACCCAACAAGGCAGAAACCAATGAAGCACCTGAGGACGGGGAGAAGGGCTGGCCGGCAACGCCGGCTGGGGACTCACCTGTGCCAATCTGTGCCTTGAATCGGTCCTGTAACCGAGTCACCAATGCAGACAGGATGTCCATGCCCAGAAGAACTACCTGCAAGAGAAGCACACAGCTCCATTTAACAGGAAGCCTGGGACCCTGGGCTACAAGGGTATCCCTGCCTTTTTTTAATTCTTCTAAGAGAACAGGAGTGCGTGTTTACTGGAGAGGAGAGATTCTGCATAAAAAGAACTGTTTAGCGTTTATGGAAAACAGGTGGAAGCAAAAGAATGAGGCTAGAAAAGCAGCGAGCATGTGGGAGCAGCTCCTAAGCGCCCTCTGCTGGGCTATGGGGCATGCGCACGGCCCCGCCCTGACCCTGCTCCTCTATCCGGGTCCCGCCCCGCACTCCCCGAGCTCCTCTGTCCCTGGTCCCGCCCCTCACACTACCTGCCCCACTCACTCAGCTCCACTCTCCCTGATTCCCCCACCCATTCCGCGCCGAGCCCGCCCTCTAGCATAGACCCGCCTCTCACGCATGGGCCCGCTCCGCACCCATGAGCTGCTACGTATGCAAATTGCCCAAGAGTTGGCGCGTGGCCTTCTGGGTAGAACCAAGCCACTATGCTGCAGCTCTGTGAAGCTTCAGAAAAACAAATGCATGGTACTTTGCACTTTGGGGAGATTTATTGACTGGTGCTATCCTGACTATAAGGCAACCAGAACGGAACTTCACATATTCGTCACCACTACCAAACAAAGTACTGGTTTTCCTGGTAGGTAACACTCCCGCGAGCATTTATCAACCATCCTTTTCTTGGGGTTGCGCTACTGTCCAATGAACGGATAGTGAGGGCAGTACTGCTGACACCTATACAACACACTCGCATCAAATAGAGCTTTGCTTTATTTGGTGCAATTTTTGGAAAACAGGAAAAATGCCTTTTTTCCATCATGTAAATGAAAAAATATTGGCTTGGAATGTATTTATGTTACAAAACTCTAGATGGCAGTAACTGCCTCATAGATTCTACATGCAAGTACACTGCTCTTAACGCATTACCACTTTTCATTCCATTACCACTTTTCATTCATTACACATACAAAGCCGAAATTACTATGCATTACTGTGTGTGCAATTTTGTTACTCTAAGTCCAAGGAGATTTGTTTTAATGCTCAATTTGTATGTGATTCATAATTGGAAAGTATTCTCTCGGGTCACTGTACCAAAAAGAAATGATCCCAAACCATTCCAGGAAGTAGCATATGATCAATTGTCATGAAAAAAGACGTGTTAAAAAATAAGGCCCCCAGAGAGCTCTGGTAGCCTAGTGGCAAAAAGTTGCACTGCAACCCCAAAGGCACGGGGTTCGAATCCACCAGATGCTCCCCTGGAGAAGGAGGGGCAATCTCCTCCCATGGCAATTGGATCTGAATCAACGACACACAAGGGATTACAAAATAAACAAAAAAATTCGTAAAAAAAAATAAAAAAAATAAGGCCCCCAAAATTGCTGGGTTACCTACCAATTGTGTTTCCACAAGCAGAATGCAGCCCCAGGCATACTCATTAACTATGTAAAGAAATTTGGAGGACAGTTACCTGGTCAACTGACTGGAAGAGACAGTTGTATCTATTCCCTAAAGAGGTAATCCAACACACTGTGGAAACTATCAAACATTATCATTTATATCATATGCAAGTAAAATCTTGAAGACTATTAAAAACTCGCTACAACAGTGGATTGCTAGTAAACTGTCAGAGGTCCATGCAGGATTCAGAAAAGGCCAGGGCATAAATGAGATGGATCATGACGGAAAGGGAATGCCAGAAAGATAGCTGTTTTACTGACCAGTAGCAAAAGCACTGGGGTGTGTGGATAATAATAAATTATGAATAATACTGAGGAAAAATAAAAATCCTAGAACACATAATAGTGCTCATGCAAAACCTACACACAGGTCAAGAAGCAACTATCTATAAAAGAATAAGGGATTTACACTAGGGAAAAGTAAGCATCAGGGCTGTACCTGGTATATTCATACTTATTCAATCTGTATATAAAAGGAAATAGTTTAAGACTCTCGAGTATATGAATGTGGTATCAAAATTAGAGGAAGACTCATCAACAACCTGTGTCTTGCAGAAGGCACAACCTTGTTTGCAGAAGTGTAAGAGAACTATAGCCTTCAATATGGACTGCATCTCAACATCAACTCCCACCACTAGACCAACAGGCAGCATTATGATAAAGGAATGAATTTTGTGAAGTTGTCAATGATTTCATTTTACTTAGCTTCATCATCGTCTCAAACTGGCTACTTTCTCCAAGACCTATCTGTTCTTTCTTTTGGCAATCCATGGGATGTTCAGTGCTCTTCTCCAACACTACAGCTTTAAGGCATCAATTCTTAGTCTGTCATCCTTATTCACTGTCCAGCTCTCAGTTTCAAGTGACTGAAAAGACCATGGCCCAAACCAGGTATACTTTACTCTTTAAATTGCTATCAATGCTCTTCAAAACTAATGTTGTAAACAACCTTAATTCCTACACTAAATCCAACTTGGTTCTGATTAATATTTCCTTTTATGTATTTCCAGATCTTGTACACTAAATTTTGTATTTTGTCATCTTTAAAAAGCACAAAATGTGGCAAACACATCAAAAGAAAATTATAAATCAATATTTTATTAAGATTGATTTGTCATTTTCTTTTCAGAAGCATGTCACACCCTGATGTCAAGGCCATGCGGGCCTCATACGATAGGTTATATTATTTTCCATGTGAGCCCCATACCATAGGTAATGTTATTTTACTTTACAGATTTTATTTATGGATAGCATAACTTCTTTAAATGTTTGAAGGAATTTTCCAATGAAGGCAAAAAAGCACTGGGACCTGTACTTGGTGCTGTGCTAGGTCCTGGCTGGCTGGCCCGTGTCACTGTGAACCCATGCACAACAGGACAGAACACTGTCCATTCTGTGCCATGCAAGCAGTCTCCACTGTGCTTTATGCCACTGCTGGAGCCACTGGACAGTCCATCTACTTGCAACTGTTTACTTGAAATTGAAACTCGGGAATCTTACCAAACAAAAATTTATGTAGATTTTTGTAATCAAAGCTTTCTAAGGCCAAACAGAAACTCTGCCTCTTGACCTTTCTACACAACTGTAAAATGAAAGGTGTTCAGAAAATTGGTGAAGTTAAGCAACTCAAGGAAGAAGAGAACTGTCAACTCACAAGCATTCTTACCACCAAGAGTCATTTGGTACTGTTCTAGGTAACACTACATCTGACTCATGATCTTCTTACAATTAATTGGCTTCCTGCTGTTACTACTGTTCCTAGGTACAGTCAAGTATAACCCAGAGCAACCCTACAAACAACAGATCTACCTGTGCCATCCTCACTGCTGCAGTTACTATGTATCAGGTCACAGGCAATCATTACATAACTACTAGGCTGCTGCTGTAAAGTGTCACTGAGTCAACTGCAACTCACAGTGAATCTATGTACCCTGCTCTATCCCGAGCCAATTTCATCATCTCTGACACACCTCCCCTCCTGTCACTGAGTCAATCCATCTCATCCAGGGTCTTTTTTCTCTTGCACTGTCCCGCCACCCTTTGAAGCATGATATCCCTCTCAAAAGACTGGTCCCTCTTGGCAGCATGCCCAAAGTGTGTCAGACAGAACTTCAAAACCTTACCTCCAAGGAGCAAGCCTGGTTTCACCCTCTTCAGGACAGACCTGTTTGTTCTCTTGGCAGCCCATGGTATGTATATTCAATACTCTTCTTCAGCACAAATCAAAGGTATCAATTCTTATTCTGCCATCCTTAGTCATTGTCCAGCTCTCTAATACATAGCAAGCAACTGTGAAGACCATGGCTTGGATCAGATGTACCTTAGTCTGCAGACCAGCATGGTTGCTCTTCAATACTCTGGAAATGTCACTGACAGCAGACTTTCCCAAATGCAATTCGTCTTTTGATTTCCTGGCTGCTGGCACCAACAGTGTTGACTGTGAAGCCAAGCAAACTGAAGCTGTTAAGAATCACAATCTCTTCACTGTCTATCATGATGCTGCCAATTGACCCAGTGGTGAAAATCTTTGTTTTCTTGATGTTGATAGAAGAATAATAGTAAACTACTATTATTACAGCTAAATAACAAAGTAAAATTAAAACTGGGGAGGGGTCCGAAGGAACCAAAAGCAATTAAGATAATGAAACTAAATGAAAGAGAAAACATAAAGTTGAATATTCCTTAGTACTAAAATGGTGATTCATTAAAACTGATCTCCATGCGCAATAAAGCTAAAGTCAAAATACAAAAACATAAAAAAGGAGCAAGCTGATTTGGGGGGGGAAAAAGGAAAAATGCAAATGGCAAGACAGCTATTTCGTAAAGCAAGTGATAAAACACAGTCTATTGGAGATAATGGTTTTATTAAACAGTAGTGAGAATTAAAGAACTTTTATCAGGTCAAGAATAAACAACTTTGCTGAAATGCCCCCATGCTCCCATACCTAATTCCACTAATTTCAACACCAATTCTACAGTTCTCTTCCACAAGGATGTTTACTTGTGTTGCAATTAACAAAAGTAGGTGTGGGAGCGCTGAGGCATCTCTGACCTTATGGAAATGTTTTTTGTTTTGCAGTCAATTTCAGATTGCAAAAATTGGTAGAAATCCTTAATTTCGCCCCCGATGGCTTTTATGAGTTAGCTTATATATTTGAACAATAGCTGTATTAATAGGTCTTCCTTGCATACATATGGGTAGTATCTTATTCTCCAGAACATGTTCTTTTTCAGGATATTTGTAAAATGCTCTTTTTGATGGTAAATGTCACATAATTCTTTTTCAACTTGTCATTCCCAGCATAGATTATAGGATGCAAAATGGCCAATATTAGTCCACCTCAGCTCACTTATGTCTAGAATGTCTGAGATTGAAAATATTATTACAATAAGATAATTTTTTTTTTATTAAACTGGGCTTACAGGAGTTGTAAAGAGTAATTTTTAAAGTAACACACGAAAAAAAGATTCCCAATAGTGTGGAATACTTTCCCAACAGTGTGGAATACTTTACAAGTAGT